ATTTCCATCCTCACCGTGTGGCCTCGTGGGAGACATGTAAGCTACGAAATCACACATGAAGCTCACTATTTATTTACTTATTTTTATCTATGTTTCTATTTCAGTATATTCATTATCTATCTATCTATCTATCTATCTATCTATCTATCTATCTACTTCAGTGTATTCATATCTTTTCAGTGTATTCATATCTATCTATCTATCTATCTATCTATCTATCTGTCTATCTATCTATCTGTCTATCTATCTATCTATCTATCGCTGCCTATTCATTATCACAATCTGTTCATTATCTATCTATCTATCTATCTATCTATTCATTATCACAATGTTCATTATCTATCTATCTACTTCAGTCTGTTCATATCTATCTATCTATCTATCTATCTATCTATCTATCTATCTATCTATCTATTTCAGTCTGTTCCTATCTATCTATCTATCTATCTATCTATCTATCTACTTCAATTTTTTTAATATCTATTTCAGTGTATTCATCTCTCTCTCTCTTTCTCTCTCTCTCTATCTATCTACTTCCGTCTATCATACCTATTTCAGTGTATTCATATCTATCTATCTATCTGTTCACATCTATCTATTTCAGTGTATTCATATCTCTCTCTCTCTCTCTCTATCTATCTGTCTATTTCAGTCTATTCATCTATATCTATTTTAGTCTTTATCTATCTATCTATCTATCTATCTATCTATCTGTGTGTGTGTGTGCGTGTGTGTGTGCGTGTGTGTGTGCGTATCATGTAACGGATATTAGGATGGCAACATTGGTGATTCAAGTTCAAATTCCGCCCTTGTCCGTAACGTTCCCTTTTTTTTTACTTTCACATAAATCCCCCCCCCCGGGAAAGGCATGAATCCAATAGCAACGTAGACTGGGGTCTCCCTACTTGGGGGCGATAACCAGTCTAATATCGTTCCAAAAATGTCATCGCAATTTAGAGATAATAAAAAAATGGGACTCGAAGGGACATGACATTCAAAAATCTATTTGTATGTGTGTGTGTGTGTGTGTATTGTATGTGTGCTGTGTCCTTTTAGAACGTTGTAGATCATGGCTCTCCACAGCTTCCCATCTTTTGTTGCTTCCTTACTCTTTCCCGTTTTGGCGGTTTGTGGGACTTGTTCCGCCATGCATTTGCTCACGGCTTTCCTCTTGTCTTTAGTGGTTGTCTTTAATACGCCCTGTGAGTGCTGAATTCACCGAGCCGTCTTTCCCAAATATTCTTCCCTGAAATTTCAACTGGTTGGTAGCAACGATTTCTTTGTCGCTCACTTCCTTTCCCATTTCGATTCCCCTCCTCCTCACACGTCTTACATACACTAATACACACACCATACACATATGCATACATCCACACGTTCTCACTAACATATTCTCACTCTTTACACATACACATGCACACGTCCGCCCTCTTTTCGGTTTGTCATCATGACAGACCATTGACGAACCATTTTGCCAAGATATTTTCGTATGGCACAAGACGCAGGGAGAATCCGATCCACACCTTTCTCGAAGGCATTAGACCAAATTCGAAATTGATTCGCACAGAACACATACACGCACACACACATACGCGCATTCAAGTATGTGTGATTATCGATTAAGTGTAACTTGGTCTGAAATAAAACTGCAATAGTTGGGTCCCAATGAGGATTGAAGTCAGTGCGCTTGTCAAATGATCGGCAAGATGAACATACTAAGCATCGCTCTATGGTAGGCCCATAACCTAGGATACATACATATTACACACACACACACACACACATATATATATATATATATATATATATAGTAAATGTAACAAATCCGTTGGAATATAATCAAAGTGGATCCTAGTAATATAAAATATTAAAAGTGATCCACAAAAAGAGCTCAATGTATTTATTATTACAGAGCAAATAATTAATAAACAATAAAATCCAAAATTACCTCATATGGGGAATAGTCTATTTCGGCAGACGAAGATATCGGTCGTTTGTCTTATCAACCCCGGTGTGGAAAAGAAAAAAACAAAAACAAAAAAAAATACAGAATTTAGCCATTCCAATGTTTCAGTCAGACGAAACAGGAGTCAGTGGAGGGTGGAAGGTATTTGTCTTACAGGGAAGAAGTTTTATGAAATTGAACCTGAATATTAACCTTATGGCATTAATTCGGACGTATATGAAGACGAAAATATTAATTTAAAATTAAAAATGAATAAAAAGGGGTTTAAAAATAATTTTAAAATATATAGATAAAAGGCTGTAAGACATTAATGGAAAGAGAGTTGGGGAGATCTTAGAGTAGTAGATATATATATATATAAGAAATATAGTCTTAAGGTGTGCTATATTTATGGGATAAAGTGCTCAATATCAGAGATAGAGCGTGTGTAAATATAAAAGTGAACATTGAGGTCAACACTTAGAGGTGACAGTATGTTTCATGCTAGACGCAATCGTCAGACCACAAAAAAAAAAAACAAAAGAAAAAATGTAAGGTCTTTATGTTAGGTTGATATATATATAGACCTTACATTTTTTCTTTCATTTTTTTAATTTTTAAATACATACGTATTACACAGACACACGCGCGTGCGCACACACACACATATATATGTATATAATATAAAAAGCTCAAACACTAATATTCCATGGTTATAATTTATTACATTGGAATCGTAATCACGATCCAAATCATTAGATTCAAAAGTTCAAAACGAAATCGAGTTCAATCAATCGAATTCAAATTAAAAAAGAAATCGGAAAACATCTCTCTCTCTCTGTCTCTCTTTGTATATATATATATATATATATATATATATATATATATATATATATATATATATATAGTAAAGGTAACAAATCCGTTCGTATATGATCCAAGTGGGTCCTAGTAATCTCAATTAGCGCATAAATTAATTAGATTAAGCTTCACATAAAAATAACGAAAAATTAGAAAATCCGCAGAAAAATCACGTGGAGTTAACAGAACAATTACGAAAAAGTTCCTCCCGAGTTGAGGTGGATAACATACACACACCCAGACACACACACACACACACACACACACACACACATATATATATATATATATATATGTCTCGTTTTTCTCCTTTTTTGGGGGCCGGGGAGGGGTACTTCTTGCCCTTCATCATGGCTCCCAAGCGTAAGGCAGAGCCGTGGGTGCTTATGTAGGTAAGTTCCGACCTACGTCGAAAAACAGGTTTACACTGTAGGAACTGATCTCCAACGTAAGTCGATAACCCTATATATATATATATATATATATATATATATATATATATATATGCTAATTAGGAAATCAGCTGATTCCGCTACCTTGGTTTCAACCTTTCAATATCTTCAGGCGGTTTCGGTCCATTGATTTCCTAACACTTTAAATAAATATATATATATATATATATATATATATATATATATATGAACGCTATATTTTTTAAAAACAAATAAATAAATACGGGCACAACATGAGGTATGGTAGAAGGTGAGGAGGAGGAGGAGGAGGAGGAGGGGAAATCAAATGAACAGGTAATGTATCAGTAGCGAGGTGTTAAATGAAATATGCATACTTTCTTTTCATCCCATTTCATATGAACTCAAAAGGGACCTTTTAGAATGTACACAACGGGTCATAATTTCCAATTTGTCATTTAAAAGGTTTTTTGGGTCTGGAAATGTTATTATACCTAACTTTTCTTGTTGACGAAGGTTGCAGATATTACTGTGATTGTTGTAAGGTTTTGCTTTTTTAAAATTTTATAGTTTGCAATCGGATCTTTTTTTTTCCTAGACTAGCCACACATAGTTGGCTAGTCTAGTAACAATTCCTAAGACGTTCTAGCTTAAAAGATGACGTGTGATTGTACCACCTCTACTTAAATTTACCCTATGTTATTTTTTCTGTAATGTGTAACTATTACTTCTGCTTTATAAATTACTGCTTTAGTTGTGCAAAATTTTGGTCAAAGGTCAATGAAATTTTTTGTTAGGGACTTTTTTAAAATTATTTTCTTCTATATTTCAAACCATTTTCTTGGTTTCTGATACATATTTAAATAGAAGTTCTTCATTGTTTGGTTACTTTCGTCTTTTATAGGCGATTCACACAGTTTTGTTTTTTGCTATATATCGACACTATCATTTTTAAATATCTGTTCTTTTTACACATTCATGTAATAGTTCGTATTGTTTTACCATTATAATCATTAACGAAATATATCTAGTATGTTTCTCCATAAATTTGCTAAGATTTTATTGATGTTGGTTTGTTTGTTTTTTATGCTTAATGCTTCGAATATTTGTAATCGTTTTTTACCGTTGATTTGATAAAGCATTTTTCCCTTATTGGCAAGGATTTTTTCGAATTTGTTGTGTGGTTGTATGCGATTTAATTGAACTATTATATATATATATATATATATATATATATATATATATATATCCTGGATGATGGTGAATCCCATAAAACAACTCAGCAGGCACCAGCTTTTTTTTCTCTCTCTCCCTGTCTCCCTCTATATCTCTCTCTCATTCTCTCTCTCTCTCTTCTGTCTCTGTTTCTCTCCTTCTGTTTATCGCCTTCTTTCTCTCACTCTCTCTCTCTCTATCACTCTCTCTTTATCTCCTTCTCTTTCTCTCCCCTCCCTCTACCTCTCTTTATCTCCTACTCTCTCTCTTTATCTCCCTCACTTTCTTTCTCTCGTACTCTCTCTGTATCTCCCTCTCCCTCACTTTATCCCTCCTCTCTTTCTCTTTATCTCAGCTTTCTTTCTCTCGCACTGCCTCTCTCTTTATCTTCCTTTCCTTCTCTTTTTCTCACTTTCTCTCTTTATCTCCCCCCTCCTCCCCTCTCCTCCTCTTTCTCATCTCTTTTTATCTCGCTACTCACTCTCTTTATCTACCTCTCTTTCACTCAGCCTCTCTCTATCTCCCCACCTCTCTCTCATGTAATAAAGATATTTTCGTTCCGACCGTGA